AGAGGGTTGATGGAGAGTGTAGTGTGATTGATTTGGGAAGTTTGGAAACTAAGGAAAGCCAGCAGTTCCAAACTCTGAAACTGAGAGCAACCATTCAAGGAGTCCCAATGTTATTATTGGTAGACAACGGAGCCACACACAATTTCATATCGAGGAAATTGACTCAAGCAATGGGGTGGAAGATTGTTGACACAAGGGGGATGAGTATAAAGCTGGGAGATGGGAGCAAAACAGTAGCTAGGGGAAAATGCGAGGCTGTGGGAATGGATTTAGGAGGGCTCAAAGTAACTATCGATGCCCACTTGTTCGAGTTGGGGGATATTGATGTGGTTTTAGGCATGTCTTGGCTGTCTACCATGGGAGAGATGGTTGTTGATTGGGGTAAGAAAACCATGAGGGTAGTGAGAAACGGAGTTTGGGTGGATTTGAAGGGAGAGGACCAAGAGTCCCAAACCGCGTTTCAGAGCTTGTTTATTGGGAGACGTATATGGATGGGGGGCATGTTGATGTCCACGGATCTAAAGTTTGCTTCTGGAAATGTCATTGAAGATGCTAATCCGGTTCTGACTCCTCAGTAGAGAGAGAAATTGGAGTTAGTGTTGTTGAAGTATGAAGCGGTATTCCAAGAACCACAAGGAGTGCCCCCAACTAGGAGTAAAGAGCATATGATAGTGTTACGTGAAGGAGAGAGACCAGTTAATGTGCGTCCATACAGATATCCCCATCATCACAAGGATGAGATAGAGAAACAAGTCAGAGAAATGTTGAGCATGGGTATTATCATACCAAGTCAGAGCCCATTTTCGAGCCCGGTAATTCTGGTTAAAAAGAAAGACGCTACTTGGAGGATGTGTGTTGACTACCGTGCTTTGAATAAGGTCACGGTCCTTGACAAGTTCCCAATACCGGTGATAGATGAGTTGCTTGATGAGGTTCATGGGGCAGTTTTCTTCTCTAAGCTGGACTTAAAATCTGGGTACCACCGAGTACGTATGAGGGAGGAGGATGTGCACAAAACGGCGTTTAGGACCCATGAGGGCCATTACGAGTACCTAGTTATGCCCATCGAGCTTATGAACGCTCCTTTCACGTTCCAATCATTGATGAATGATGTTTTCATGACATGTTGAGAAAAGGGGTGCTGGTGTTTTTCGATGACATTTTGATCTATAGTGGGAGTTGGGAAGAGCATCTGAAACAGCTTAACCATGTTCTACACAGGCTGCAACATCAATTGGTGGCCAACAAGAAAAAGTGTCAGTTTGCTCAGAAATCCATTGAGTATTTGGGTCATGTGGTCTCAGCCCAGAGTGTGGCAATGGATCCAAGGAAGGTGAAGAGTATCAAACAGTGGTCCATTCCAAAAAATGTTAGAGGAGTGCGTGGATTTTTGGGACTAACGGGTTATTATTGGAAATTCATACGGGACTATGCAAAGATTGCAAAGCCTCTAACTGAGTTGACTAAGAAAGATGGGTTTCAATGGAATTCTCATGCTCAAAATGCATTTGATCAGCTAAAGACAAAGATGACGGAAGCCCCAGTGTTAGGCTTACCCGACTTCACTAAACAGTTTCTGATTAAATGTGATGCCTCCAGTGGAAGGGTTGGGGCAATACTCACTCAGATGGGCAGACCAGTAGCTTATTTTAGTAAGGCCATAAGTGAACGCATTCTGTCCAAATCAGCTTATGAAAAAGAATTAATGGTGGTAGTGCTGGCAATCCAACATTGGAGACCCTATTTGTTGGGTAGAAAGTTCACGGTGAGCACTAATCAGAAAAGCCTCAAGCAACTCATGCAACAAAGGATTTCTACCATGGACCAACAAAATTGGATGGCCAAGTTATTGGGCTATCAATTCAACATTGTATATAAACCGGGTGCTAGTAACAGAGGTGCAGATGCTCTATCCCGAATGCATGAGGTCGAAGGGTCTTTCTGCCCTCTGATATACTATCCGTTTTGGGAGGACAGTCAAGAAATCATTGAGGAGGTGCATCGAGATCCCAAGTTGAAGGCTATCATTGAAGGGTTGGTTCAAAATAACGCTCTTAAATAAGGTTTCTCTTATATAAAGGGAGTTTTTTATTATAAAGGAAGGTTGGTGATATTAGCAAATTCTGACTGGATACCTAAATTGTTGCAAGAATACCATGCCACTACAGAAGGGGGACATTCAGGTTTTTACCGGACATATCGACGCCTTGCAGCCAACCTGTATTGGATTGGGATGACGGAGAAGATTCAAGAATATGTCCAGTAGTGTGATATTTGCCAGAGACAAAAATATTTGGCTACTTCCCCTAGTGGCCTTTTGCAGCCTCTGCCAATTCCTCAACAAATTTGGGATGAGGTTTCCATGGACTTTATAACAGGTCTTCCTAAAGTTCGTGGGTATGAGGCAATATTAGTGGTGGTAGATAGGTTGTCAAAATATGGACACTTCAATCTTCTTAAACATCCCTATACAGCAAAGACGGTGGCTGAGATTTTTGTCAAGGAGGTGATTTGGTTATATGGCATTCCTAAGGCCATTGTCAGTGATAGAGATCCTATTTTTGTCAGTATTTTTTGGAGGGAGTTCTTCAAGTTGCAGGGCACTCAGCTGAAGATGAGTACCGCATACCATCCCCAAACGGATGGACAAACGGAGGTAGTCAACCGTTGCCTAGAAACCTATCTATGTTGTTTCATCACTGGCCAACAAAAAACGTGGGTAAATTAGGTGCATTGGGCAAAATATTGGTACAACACCACATTCCATCAATCAACCGAAACTACCCCGTTTGAGGCGGTGTATGGCCGTAAACCACCAGCATTGGTGAGATTTCTACAAGGGGAAACATTGGTGGAAGTTGTGCAGCAAGAATTGGTGGACAGAGATGAGGCTTTACGACAACTAAAACATCATTTGACTCGTGCTCAAGATCGTATGAAGGGATAGGTTGATGCGCATCTACAGGGGTGCAATTTTGCTATTGGGAGTGGGTTTTTCTGAAGTTGCGCCCCCATAGGCAGGGCTCAGTAGCCACCAGAATCAGTCCCAAGTTAGCGGCAAGGTATTTTGGTCCTTTTGAAGTGGTTGGACGTGTAGGTGCAGTGGCTTACAAGCTCAAACTTCCATCGACTTCGAAGATTCATCTCGTGTTTCATGTCTCATTACTCAAGAAGGCAGTGGGTAATTACGCAGTGGAGGCTGAACTACCTGAGAACATTAAAGGAGAGGAGAGCATAGAGGTGGAACCAATGCTATTTTAGCGGTTTGGGGGTTGCGAAAGGGAGGGGAGGATGTTGATCAATTGTTGGTTTAGTGGAAGGGCCAAGGGACAAAGAGTGCCATCTGGGAAGACAAACTAGCCATCCAAAGTCAATTTCCATAAGTCAGTCTTGAGGACAAGACTGTTGTTTTAGGAGGAAGCAATGATAGGGGTCTAGTGATAGATCAGCTAAGTCATGGACCCAAAGTGTGGTATATGTATTCTAGAAAGGGTAAAAAAGGAATGTGACAATTTTTGTTGACAAGGAGGAAAGAGAAATTATTAGAAGCGTAAGTTTGTTAGGAGGGATGAGGGGAATTCGGTTATTTAGGGATGAAGGGATGAATGACATGTAGTGAGAGGGGAGAGGAGGAATGAGTGAGAAATCAATGGATAGGGAATATTTGTTCTCTATTGGAGCGTAGCTCTGTGGGTAGCAATGAAAGACAATTTTTCCTGCTGCATTTCTATTCTTCTCTTTTACCTTTTTTTCTGCACTTTTTCTTACAATTAAATCCTAAATCTGTTATATTAAGTACTTGATCATCTTAGTTTGTAACAATATGTTTTGTGGCCACAATATATTATTATTAGATTGATAATCGTTTTCAAAAATGTTATTTAAATTTTGTCCAAATCGAAGAATGTTAGAACTTTTCAGTAAATTATTGTGGCTGAAATTAATTGCAATACTTTGTTTTGCTGAAAACGGAATAATGTTCATGAACCATTCGATGATAATTGAGTCTACTAAAGGGCTTTGGACACCTAATTCTAATTAGTATGAGAAATAGTGTGCGCCTAACCATTGGACACATAATGAGAGGTGCCTATGGGTAATAAATAACGAGGCTAGGTCCTTTTGCCGTTACACAAATTATCAGTTGCTCTCTAGGTTTGTCCTATTATCAATGCAGTATGTACTGAAAATGCAGAAAGAGGCTAAGCTCTCAAGATAGTGCAGTGCTCCTCGGAGAAGGATTAATCCTCTCTCTGCCAATCCTAAGGATTCTAACTGAAGATATGTAATGATCCTCCACTTCTTGGTCCTCTGCCTATAATCATTCTTAACTAACTGCAGATCAGCAGCTCCTTAATTTCCTTCCCTCTTCTCTTGCTTTTTCTCACACTTATAAAACTCTCCATATCATTGGCCTATCTTGCTTAACGCCCATTAAGGAATCTTCATCTGCTCCAGCACTATTGCCCGTGTCAAGCAGTCTATCATGGTTATAGTTTTTGTTTAAAACAAATGTATCAGTACTAAAAACCAATAGTTTCTCTTGTTTCAGTACTAAGGTACCAGACCCTAGATTTTCAGTCGTTAAGTTTTAATCCCTGCATGTACTTCTGAGTTTATCCTAATCAAGTTCAACGAAAGACCAAAACCCAAATGAGTATAAACTACAGGGACTGCAATTTTATCTAAACCAAATTGAAATTCTGCTTCAGAAAAATTAAAAAAGCCGACAAACAATTGGAATAAATTATGTAATCATACAACAAATGAAGGGTATCATATACTTTTACCAGTCTGATTTATATCCTGTCCACTCTGCTAGATAGATTTGAAAGGAAACAAAGGATTAGGAACCAAAAACCACTACAACCACAAAAAGGAATCTAACCAGAAAATTTCGAGCACTTCCATAAAATTACTGGAAATACTACTTATTGATCGTAAATAAAAAATCTAGATAGAAGAGGGAACACTGTGTTCTAACCTCCTCTCCCCTGTCCTTATCCTGACTTTCGAATAATTTCTTCGGAGGGGAGTTCAAGTGTTGCTCCGGCATGCTCTTTACCCGGCTTCACCACTGCAGCAATAAGTTTGCAAAAAATTATGAAAGGACTTGGTCTACTTATATACAGATTTTATTGAATAAAGTTCCTAGCTCCTCCAATGCTAAAAAAAATTATGAAAAGAAAAGTCAAAATATTCAAACGTAAAACTACAAGGATACTCTTATTATGCAGGCAGGAGGATATAATATGTTTATACATCACAAATGCCAGCCAGCCTGCCTGCCTGCCTGCAATGATCATGTTTGAAATGTTCACACGAGATAACCATTGACCTCAAATAATTTAAATTTAGTTTATTTCATGAACAAATGTGACGCACTTCCAACCCGAAGGAGGTTCTATACACCTGTCACAAAACTCAAGACTTTTGTAGGCAATGAAAGGTAATTTTTAATTCCTAAAGGAGAGAATGCATGGAAGGTAACGTTGGAAACCTATCTCAGAAATGATTGTCATAATTGGAAATGACATTCTCCTATTGATCAGCAATTCCAACGTTATTAGCATGTCACAAACACTAGTAATATCCTGTTTAGATAAACTTCTACATAAACACTCTATAGGAAAAAATAAAAAGACAAATTGCACTGAGCTTCTCCTTAAACTAAAATCAATTAACTTATTGAGTAATGAATTGAAAAGAGATTATATAAAACTCAATTAACTTTAGGGCTTAATTATTTCGTCCCATTATTTATTGACTCCTTTTTTTAATTTTGCCTCAAATTATTTTGAATGTCAATTTGATTCCACTTTTTTTAAACTGCGTCAATGTATTTCCCTCCGTCATTGTTGTTAAGTAGTCATATGGAAGAGTGTAACATAAAGTGATCACACACACACACACACACACATATATATCTATATATATATTAAGAGCTTCAAGTAAAATTGTGGAGAAGCCCACCCTCCTTCACCCTTCCCCAGCCCCTTGTAAGATCAGCCCTTGGTGATATGACAATATCGCCTCACTTAAAAAAAATATAAAAAAGGACCAAATTGATACCGTAAATAGGAGCAAGATAGGTCATCGACAAGTCATTCGTAGAAGTATATCGTCAACTAAACAATGAACAGAAACCAAGCTTTCTAAATAAATCAACTGAAATGCGAAATTTATGTTACAAGGTTTAACGCAAGCTCCATGACATATTGGTCTTAGAGTGACTGAAGTGCGAGTCTCTGAAGTAGTAATTAAAAGATATATTTCCATGACGAGAACGCTGCAAAGTACGAAGTTCATGACAGAGGAATGAAAAATAAAAGCGAAAGAAATGAACAAACAGGAGGAGAGCATACCGTAACTTCCGGCATCGCTGTTGAGCTGTGCCTGGACAATCATGTTGGTGATGAAATCGGAAGCCTCGCCGGCTTCTTCGAGAAGCTTCTGGATCTCCGCCTTGGAGCTCACATCCCTGTTCTCCTCAAACTTCTTCCTTACCTCCACCGCCGATTCCTTCAGCATCACAGTGTCGCCGGAGAATGTTTTCCGAGTCGCTTTCAGAAGCGCGCGGTACGCGCTCAGAACTTCCCTTCTCGCCATCTCTCTCTTTCTTCTTGGCGCCGTTTTTAGTTTCGCTTGTTTGCGATGCGGAGCGGTACTATCACTGTGTATGACCTCCTATTAATTTTTCTTCCTTTTTGCAAACCCTCAAAATTTCTCTCACTTTATTTGCTCTAAGGTGAATATATTTTCGGTGAAAAGCGATAAATTGGTTTTTAAACTTTTAAAAAATTATTAATATTTTTAACATTAAAAAACTTTACTACTTTTAAAATATCAACTGAATTTATATAATTTTTAAAATTTAAGAATTAAATTTATAAATATGATATATGTATTTTGATTATGATTAATTTAAGGATAAAATATGTTTTTTATATAATAATTATGATAAATACTTATACATATTATAATTAAAATATTTTGTTTAAAATTTATATTATTATTAATTACTTTATTAATTTTTTAATCATCAACTCTAGATAAATAATTACTTTATGTTATATAAAAAAATTATATAAAATGTATTCACCTATTAGACAAAATTCAATGAATTTTTTTTTATAAATCTGACTATTATGATAGTACATATTCATTATTTTGGATGAAATTAAACTATTTTATAATTAAAATCATGCATATATATATATATATATATATATATATATATATATATATATATATATATATATATATATATATATATCACTTACTGGTTTAAATGTGTAAAACTATTCTTTTCCCATAGATGATTAAAAACATAATGAAGTAGTTAATATTATATGAATGTTAGATAAATTATTTTAATTATATTAAACACAAATATTAGTTATAATTATTATATGACAAACATATTTTATCTTTAATTTAAAATACAAAATTATTTTTCAATTTATTTTTATATAAATTTTAAAGTTTTACCATGAATTTCAAATATGAAATAATTACAACCATAAAGAATTTGGAAATTAGTGAACATAAATCAAATCTGTTAAACTTTTGAAATAGAAATACTAAATTTTCTCTAAAAGAATTTGAGAAATCAACATCAATCATAATTAAAATTAAAATCATTGAAAATAAAATTAAAGTATTTTGTATCATTTTGTTAATTTATTGCTGCACGCGTTACGATTGGACAATAATTAACTATTAAAGTTGCTTAAAAAACTTTTAAACTGTGAACTAATATTCACTTGATTGACCAATCTATTTTTTAAAACATTAGGAAAAAAACACTTAATTAAGGATGGCTAAGGTCCGCCGCTAATGTATATGTGCGAATATTAGTAACTAATATTAAATGGTTAGTAAAATCAATAATTGAAGTGAACATATCTAGGAGCCATTTATTTACACTTAAGAAAATAATAAGATTTAACTTGTTTTCAGAGATTAATAAAAAAGACAAGGTTTTCTGTTTAGTAACAATTATAAAAAAAAAAATCACATTTTCAGATAATTTTAATTTCATTTTTCAAAAACTACTTAAAACGACTCAAATAATTAAATTCTATTTTTGAAAACTTACACAGTCACTCTTAATAATTTAATTTCTTTTCAAAATAAAAGCAAGTTTTTATGGGGGCGGCAAACTAAGATAAAGCCTTGTCTTGCAACGTCTGAAAATTGAAAGAGTGAATTAGAAAAAAAATCTACATACAGTAAAAATAACGAGCACAGAATTCTGATGTTGATCTACTATCAAACAGGAATTAACTTGCAACGATAACGAATTGCAATCAAAAGTAAACAAATATTAATAGCAGTTTAGTCCATTTACATTTTTCAAACCAAAGCCCAACATGCTAGAGATTTTCTTCAACTATGTTCTATGAAATTTGTATGACTCGGACCAAAAAGTTGTACCCATCCCAAACAAAAAAAACCAAAGCCCAATCCTTGTACGTCCATCATTTCATATTTCGATCAAAATCTACAGAAGCTGATTGATACCACCACATCAATAAATCATCATATTTTCATTGCCAAAATCCTTTCCATTATTCACACATAACAAATGGCCGAGAATGAGCACCAAAACCACTTGATCAGGGATTCATGCACAAAAGACAGTTCGTCCACTATTGAAGGAAAAAGAGGATTCTGTTGCGTCCAGAGATTTCTGCAATAGTCACCTCAATGCATCAACCATTCTACAATCATGCTTCCTGCGACGGCATCTATGATGAGATTTTTGATCTAGCAAGGTGTTCTCCCCAACCATCTCCCTTTTAGAATCTACAGCTGGTGCAATGAAGGTCAAGTCAGTCTCTGAAACAACCAATTAGAGGCCTAGTTTTATATATGCAACAAGTGCCTTAATAGATAATGCTTGGAGAGATATTTGTATGAAATCCAAAACCCATTCGAACCTTTCAATCTATCAACGTTTGCATAAAGTATTGGTTTGTATGTCCACAGCCATGTGCAACAGAGGATCATAAAGTTTTTGAGGGAAGCATTTAGCTTCTAATCCAAGTGAGAAAAAAGCGCACAAAATGAAAGTTCCATTTAAACTTTCATGGAATGCTATAGCAACAAAAAATCTTCAAGAAAGGTATTTAAGCAAATAAGAGTAAAATTTCGCCACGCATCAGTTGAAAAAACAAATGCAAAAGCACAATTTCTTGTAAATGCATTCTTTCTTTTTCTAGTGATTAGTCAACATCTTAAGAATATTCCACCTAAAAAGTTACTGCCACAACACAAGGCAGTTTCAAACAAACTTCCTGTTTTCTGAAAGTCAAAAGTTTTTGCCCAAATATATAACATGCAGCAACTTCATATTAGCACTTCAAGGAAGAAAAACAAATCTCTCAAGAATGTTCACTTTCAGCACACTATGCCTATTCAGTAAAATCATCAGTTGCAACTTGCACCACTACCAACATGATTGTACTGTTACATCGTCAACTTGTGTTTATTGAGACTCAAGCCCCAATCCTCAAACATAGATTTTGAAAAGAGTTACAGTGTTTCTCTCCAAACATCTTGCCCAGCATCTGGAAAGAGGGAATCAACACTCTTCAAAATATATAAAACAAATGGTGGCCTTTTTTCCTTAAGGCAGCTGATGGAACAAACTATACTTTAGATATACCCACTCAAACACTACATGGTTCAAAAGTGTAGGAGGATTTGAGGCAATAGATTGTCACTGTTGTTTTTCACAACACGTTGAAATTTCATATAGAAAAGGGCCCTGTAATAAGTTGGAATGCAGATTAGATGATCCTTTTAATCACCAATCAGAAGCTTTGCCCCAAAATACACGACATGATGGAATCCAAGCATCAGCTTTCCAACACCAAATGTATTAACACTGAGGCTAACAAGTGTTTGGGGGTAACTCAGGGAGAAATAAGTTAAGTTTTCTTAAAAATGAGATGTTTGGAATAACAATATGTGAAGAGACCTATTTACGTTTTCCTCTTTAAGGAGTAAACTATTCAAAGGGAGAATATGATCATGTTCTTCTCCGAGTCCCGACTTTCATTTTCATACAAATAAACTTTCAGTCCATAGCATCTAGCAAAGCCTGATTATCCAACCACATATTCTCCCGCATCAGCCTCTAGTCTCTTCTCTATAGCCTCTTCCTTTAACAATTTAAACCCATGGCAGCTGGAGTGTACTCACAGGAAACCATGCTGCCATTTTGGTGGATTCCAAGACTGCCTTGTTTGTTATGCTGCCCTTGACTTTGAGGCACAGCACCACATGGTTGTCATGTTCCAGAGCGCACGGTTAGGGATGAGCTTTGTGTGGACTAGAGTCTGACCCATCTTGGGCCACCAGCTTGTACCAAAATTCTATCCAAATCTCAATAGAATCTCCATGTCTATTCATTGCTGTCACAGATAACCAAGGGAAAAGTTCTGCTAATATAGATATATATATTCATTTTTAGAAGTAGAATTTTATTTAATTCCCAATAAATCCTAAATTTAAAAGTGTAAGAAAATTTACTTCGTCAATATTTGCTATCAGATGTTGATTAATCTCTCAAACATAGACAGTTTTTTTTTTTTTTTCAGGAACCCAGGTCACTAGCTTAAACAGCACCATGGCAAAGGCAAAACAGCATACATATGCAGCAGCAAAATGCTATCTTCAATTCTTCTTTCAAACGAAGGTTCCAAAAGCATATCCAAATATGAAGAGAAACCAACTCACTAGCCCAATATTTGGAATACCACAACTTTAACATTGAGCATAATCTACTTGAAATTAAATATTTTACGAATCCCATCAAAACTGGTAGGATTTACAGACCAGGGTTCAGTGTAGTAACCATAGCAGACCAAATAACAGGTAAAATAGCAGTCGTGTTGTTGATTCCATAAAAGCCCTCTAAATAAAGACATAAGAGCTTGGGATTCTGGTTTTGAGATTTCAATATTCAAAAATAAAATCTACTGCTGTAAGAGTAGTGCAAAATATGGGAGGACTAGGATTTAGAAGATGATGATTGAAATTCATGATTCCTAGCTTGACTTGAATTTTACTCTTTTTTTCATATTTATTTCAACTGGTATATTTTGTTTAAGACACTAGTGAATTTTTATTGCTAATTATGAATGTCAAAAATTTTGAGTAATTTTTATCACATTTGAGAATTCATATGTAAATAAATAGTATACATTAAATAAACTACACAAAAATTTACAACAAAAGAAAACAGCTATCGCGCCATCTGCTATTACCCTCAACATGATTTGTGAATGAATTGAAAACCTTGTTCTTGAAGCAATAACACTAATCCAAACAAGTTTTGTAAAATAACTCGCAGACAAAGAAACCCAATCCTTTCGTTCTAAAGATTCTAAACACAATTTCACCAGTAGCACCTACTAGAAAAATTCAACAAAAGGAAAAACAAAGCAACAAGTTGGCGACTATGCACACAGCAAACATCATTCACGAGTTTCATAGAAGGTAGAAAAGAACTGCAATAGAAAGGAATTAAAACGGGTGAAGCTTTACCTCCAAGCTGGTCGCCCCAAAACAACAATCTGGGATCATCCTCTTCTTCATCAAACTCATCCCCATATCCAAATTCAGCATCCCCACGATAACCCGGTTCACTCCCATACCCCGATTCATTTCCATTCGCGTCAGAACTCCCACTCACCCCAAACCCCACACCCACGTTCTCCCTCTCGCCATCCCTCTCTCTCTCCCTCCTTGAATTCTTCGCCTCGCTAACATCCGAAGACCAATTCGCGTCGCCGTTCCCGAAGAGCTCCCCGCTGGAATCAGTGCCCATAGCCACCGGGAAGTCGGAGCAGGTGCCATACGCAGCGGAGGCCCCAACGGAGCAGCAGCGACGCGTGCCACTCCGATCACTGCTGCGGCCGGACACAGATCGGGAGCCGCGGCGGCGCCTCTTGCGAGCGACGAGGCGGTAATTAGTGGCACGGTGGTTGGGGTTGTTGTTGGTGGTGGTGTTATCGTCGGCTTCGGCGAGGGTGAGCTTGGACATGTCGAGGGAAAACGAGGTAGTTGCGCGATCGGAGAGGCAGGGGCGCTTGTAGTAGTAGGGTTTGGGGTGGGGCCCATCTTGGAGCTTGAAGGGTTTCCAGGTGCGGAGCTGCAACATGCAGGAGTCTATGGAATGGCGCGCGTCCAGAGGCTTGTGCGACATTGATTGAGTCATCACAGACAAACGCGAAGAGATGAGAGGAAGAAGAAGGAAACGTTGAATTGAATCGTGAAATTTGTGTAGTGTGAAGTAGCAGAAGAGCACGCGGTAGATTAACTGATAAATGAGAAGGGAGAGGGGTACTGTATTGATCTGCGGGATTTTGATTCGGAGCTCACGGGAATTGATATTTTGCATCCACGACAATATTATGGGTCCCGCGCTCACTACCTCCACTAATCAATCACTCCACCTTTGTTAACACTGGCGGAATACCATACCAGTAAAAAATTCTTCTTTTCTTTTTCACAGCTATCATTTCCTTAAGATACCCCAAATCCCTAACCTTTGTTTTGTTGTGGGGTAGATGGTGTGAGGAAGAAAGATAGAAGAAACAATGAAAAATACTATTACTGATTTGTTTGTGTAACAAAGGAGGGAAGCAAGAAAGGAGAGAATCTCTTTTTCTTTATTTTTCTTTTTCTCCTGCATGACTTGAGAAAGAAGAAATTGTTTTTTCAATGATGATTTATTAAGATATTTTTCATATGAGATATAAAATATAAATAATAGAACAAATAGAAGTATGGTTAGAGAAAAATAAGGTAGACATATGTTTTATTAGAAATGAAACAAATAAACTTTTTTTTCATTCACATAACTAATTATATTATATAAAGTAAATTATAATATAAAAAATGTTAGGTATATATTCTTTAAAATTTTGATGACTATTGTTTTATTATTATTTTATTCTTGTTAAAAATTATAAAATAAGAAATGGTGATTGCATCTTACTATTGCTTGATCATTAAATATAAATTAGTATTTTATTTCGTGAATAAAATTATATTTGTATGTATATTCTTAAAATATGATAAAAATATGTTTTTTATATAACAATTATTTTTTAAAGAAGTTGTGAATTTTATATACATAAATCGATGTATAGATTTAAATATATTTAAAATTTATTAAAAAAATATTATGATTCTTATCATAAATATATTCATTATTTATATATAAATAAATAATCTATCTCACATAAAAACTTAACCAAATAATTAATATGGTATGGTATGAAAATAAGATCAAATATTAAATTATATTAAAGACAAAATATTTACGATGAACATATTTTACTCTAAAAATATTATGTATTATATTTATTTATATATCAAAATTTTATTATTTTAAATTAATAAAGAGTATTTTTTTAATTAATAATAATATTTTTAATTTTCTCTAATGACTTTTTATTTAAAAAATATTTATATTTAAAATAAAAAACCATTAAAAGCAATGGTATTATATATAAAAAAAATCAACAATTAATATTCATCATTTCAATTTAATCAATAATTTTTTCACTCATTTATACTGTTTTTCAATTTAGTTAATTACTTTTATTTCTTACTACTTTTCTCTGAATTATTCTAATTTTAACTTTGGTTTTACGTCCGAGTCAAACAAAAGCTACGAGTGCATTTTAAGTCAAAGGTGTGAAGAAAAGGGGTACATGCAAAAATTGTGTTTGATTAAGTTGATATAAAATAAGAGTTTTATTTGTTTTTAGTTTCTTATTTCCTCTATATTTATATGAGAAGATAAGAAAAAAAAACAACAACTAACATTTATTAAAAGACAAATTTCCTTTTAGCAGACCATATCATGACCGATCAATAAGAATAAGAAGATCAAAGAAAAAAAAACTTAGTTGGATATTTCATAGTGATACTTGAAATATGTTTTTTTTTAACAATACAGTGACTTGACGATAAATAGGTAAGTTTTACAAACTTACTTAATAATCTCTAAGTTCAGTTGTTCAAGTTTATGTTGTAAAATTTTTAAAAACAATACTTTAGTTTATATTTTTTAATATTAATTTTAACAATTTAGTAATAAACCTTGCTCTGATACCAAGAGAGAGGGGGGAACAGGAGGGGTGGAAACTCAGATAACTGAGTACCCCAAAAAACAAAAGGTACAGAGAAAGCAGGGAAAACCTGCTCAGATACCAAAAGGGCAAACAAGACAGAGAAAACCAGGGATGAACCCAAAATAAACTGCCCTGAGACCCGAAAGGGGAATGGAAAGGAGGAAAGTAAATTGACAGAAAACAAATAAATTAAAACATGTTATAACTCTTTATCTCTTCTGTCGGTCAACGTGGCTACTTAGCTCACAGAGAACCCGAAACCGGGCTAGCTAAAATGAAGATTGTCCGAGATAAAGTCGGTTATAGCAAGAAAAGTGTTCACCATAAGATTATGAGATGACTGAATCTGGCATAGCCGGTTGGACATCTCCTCATAAGCTTACATGAACGAAATTAAATGCAGAAAAGTAAAGACAGGAAAAATAAACACACAAGTCCATGATAAGATTATGAGATGACTGAATCTGGCATAGCCGGTTAGACATCTCCTCATAAGCTTATATGAACACAAAATAAAGCTGTACAAAAAATTATTTAAGCCTTTAAATGATTATCGCATCTTTAAATAAATAAAACTTAAGGCATCCGAGGACGCCCTTAAAAGAAAACTACTCCATAAGGGGGAGCAGAGAGCACTTACTTGGGGGGAAGAGAAAGAGAAGGAGAGGGGAGATGCTGAATAACTTCTTTTATTGATAGTAAGAAATTTACATAAGAAGTAGAGAGAATGGAGGAGAAGAGAGGGAGGAGAGAGTAAGTAGAAAACTTCTGCCCAGCATAAGGGACTTATGAAGCCTTATATAGAAAAACAAAAATATTAAACTAATGAATAGTAATTTACATGTGGGACCCACTTTATGACTAATGGGTCTTCAAAACTTAGCAAAGAAGTAATCCTACGGAGGAGGAAACTTCCTCACTAAAAACAAAATTAGTAACGTCACTAAAAGACAAAAATAGTGACATTCATTTTTTTTTTATTTTTTATTTTTTTTTATTTTTTTACATTTTATCAAAAGACTGATTCAATCTTACCGTCATTAACATGCAAGGCTTAATGGGTCTAACAACATGTAACGGAAGAGGAATCGTGACAAGGTAGCAAGATATCATTATCTTCCATTAACCTTTGTCGTCTTTTGATACAGCCGTATGACGTAAGAGCTTACGTCATGAGAAGCTCCTTGAAACCTTCAAGGGCAAAATGGTCTTTTTGTGGCTAATGACGTGGAAGATTACGTCATTAGGAGTTCTTCGAAATCTTCGAGGGTAAAATTGTCTTTATCAGAAAGACTCATTGGTTGTGGGGAGGCGGGATTTGTACAGTTTCGTCGTACATGAGCAGCTTTGCCAAATTTCACCCAAAGACTGATGGTGTTGGTTTCGGCTAACAGCTCTTTATGGATATCTTCATCCTGGAATTGATCATACCTCACTGTAGTGAAAGGAGGATTAATATGATCAATCTTTTGGAGATTATCACTGAAACAGATATCAGTGAAAGACTCAGTATCCAGAAACAAGTGATGTTTAGCTGGATAATATTCCCCTTTTATGCTGTAGGGGTGTGTTGAGAATATTTCAATGAAATATTCCTTACTATAATTGTTTCGAAAGAACGCATTTGTCCAGTAATTTATCTTGGTACCGAAAAATGGTTCTATCATCGAGTTTCTGAAAATAATCATTCTTTTCAAGAATCCTGAAAAGAATAAATCTTCAGTTAATTGTTTACTGATCCAAGCAGGATCACATTCCACCAAATAAGGGTTTATTCCGATGTACTGATCGGAAGATGAGGGTGCCGAATCATCTTGATATTGAACTATCCTCAAGTATAGGCGGAGTGTAGAATCTACTGGTAATTGGAATAACCAGTTTTGTAGTGCTCCAAGTTCTACTAACAAGGAAACAAAAACATGTTCGTAGATTTTTTCTTGGATTGGGCTGGGAAGTTGTCCCAAAAATTTTCTTTTGAATGACCCAATATAGGCCATTTTATTTGTAAAAGTTCCATAATCAATGGTTTCGAAATCATAGTCCATCTTTTTACGAAGTTCTAAGATTTCGGTTTTTAAATCTTTATTTTCTATTTCCAAACAGGAAATATGTTTTTGAAAATCATTTTTCTGAAAAGAAAAAGAGTTTTTCAATTTTTGTTCCATTTTCTTAGCAAAAGCCAAGCGTTCTCTAAGTTTAATGGAATCATAAATTGAAAAATTCTTTTGTTTTGTTGGTTTTTCAAAAATGAAATTACCAACTTCAGGATGATCCAACAGGCTATTGTCACCTCCAACATAGCTGACCATCGCTTGTACTGCTTCTTCAAGGTTATCAAATCCTTGAAATTTGTTGTGTTTGTCATTACCTATCGCCTTCAACAGAGAGGGATATGATAGGTAGACGCCACACTTGTCTCCAGTAAAAAGGCAGTAGGCCTCTTTCTTGGGTTTTTTAAAAACAGCGGGCAACATTTTTGCAAAGTAATAATTTAATGCATTAATAGCATTAAATTTTGTTGTTGTACTACAAGCTCGATGAAGAGCATCAAGTAATACCTTTTGTTCCCTTGAAACGAGACAGTTCCTCAGACATTTGAATTGTTGAGGGTGACCTTCTGGTAAAACCGGAAGATGCTGTGTTCCAAACTTTAGAGTATCAAACTCTTCAGTTGTTGAGGCTAGTAACTTGCCTTTGTTGATTGGGTTTGCCATAGTAGTACCTGTATAACTGAAGGAACTCTGCAATACCCTTTTATTAGTTTCCTTAAAAGAAGAAACTGTAGTATTCATTAGACAATATCCATAATCATCTAATATATTTCCTAATTCATTATATTTATTATCCAGTTGAAAATCATTTTCGTTAGGATAAAGGTGAATGAATTCATTATTTGTGAAATCATTTATTAGGCCATAATCTTTATGGCTTTTGTCTAAATTGATTTCATCATTATACTCTGTAATACTAATCACTGATAGTATTTCAGAGTCAGTAGAAACATCTTCATCTATTGGAAGAAGGTTCATGTGGCAGGATTTTATCAATTCTGCCTCTTTAGTGTAAATGTTTGTAATGTTAGGACAATCTCTAGAGAAGTGTCCCAGTTGATTACAAGCGAAACATTTCAAAGTTTGCTTGTATGTTTTGTTTTCTCTAAATTTTCTGACGTGTCTATCAGGATTTAGAGTTGGTTTTCTAGAATTTGAAGACCTAATCGTGTAAGTCTTTCTAGAAGTTGTGGGTTTTTGTCTTT